AAAACAAAAAACAAAAAACAAAAAACGATCGATCGATCAAAATTCGTAGTTTATATAGTTAGCTAAAATATGAAATAATACTAAAGAAATCAAATGTATGTAATCTCTGATTTTATGAATTATAATGTTACTTAGTCCAAACTTTAAAAGTTAAAATMCTTTAAATATTCCAATATTTATTCTCTGCTTCCAATATTTATTCTCTGGTTGTGACGTGACTACGAATTATTTCGTCGAGCATGCGCATTAAGAAATGAGGGATCTGGGTACTAGATTGATATGAGGGAAAGCGTTTGCGCATGCTCTTAATCTGTATGCAGATTAATTCAAAATGTCTGCTGTAAAATTACAATTATCAATATAAGTTTAACTTTTAAACTTGCCTGAAAAACTGCCTTTCAGGTGGTTTCTGAAAAACCTATGAACCAAAGTGTACTAATTAAAGTGTAATAGTTGGATTTACACAATAGAAAGCAAAAGACTACTCTTCCCAGTAGACCGAGGTAGTTGTGATTTTTTAATCGCCTTCGTAGCGTCTGTTATGTTATCCGCAAGTACATTTCAAATCGAACACGTGATGCCAATGTTGTACCACGAGGACAAGTTTTTTACACCACGTGATCAAAATTCAGTCAAGTTTTAATCACGTGGTGTAAAAAACTTGTCCTCRTGGTACAACATTGGCATCACGTGGTCGATTTGAAATGTACTTGCGGATAACATAACAGACGCTACGAAGACGATTAAAAAATCACAACTACCTCGGTCTACTGGGAAGAGTAGGAATTAGAGTGTAATAAGCTAAAGTTTACGGGAAACAATTTATGAAAACCACACAAAAGTAAAGTTAAGAAATGTTTTATATTCAGGGAAAATAAACATCTATTTCCTGCTGGATACGAACTTGAATTACTGGAAAACTTGCTGAAATATCTGCATGCGTTTTTCTCTCGTGTTGGTATGACTTAAAGTCTTTAACGGTGCTTTCTTTTGACGCTGTTTTGATTTCATCTTCTTATCGAAAACTGCGATAGTAAAGGCAGTATAAGCAAGCAAAAGCAAAAAGAAAAGGATATAAAGTAACAAGAAAAAGTAGTTTTGAAAAACAGGTTAAAACACGAAAAATAATAAAATTAAARGTATAGTTGAAGATGTAAGCCAAGCTTAAACTATGGATAAAACTGAAGACGCTCGAAATAACAATATGTATAAATCAATAATTTGACGTTTAATAAAATCAATAAATGAATTAAAAATCAAATCGTTATGCTCAAATACTACCCACCCGTGCCACTTACCCATGTATTTACCCACCTATACCTAAATACCTACCCACCTACCCACTCACTCACCAACC